AAAGTTGAACCTGGCTCTCAGCTGCCGCTCAGCCTAAAGCCCAGAGGCTATTATGGCTGTACCAGATGCTATAATCATTGCTGGGTCTGGGCACATGGACTAGTGTGCAATTATCAATTTATCTGTACTGAAGCACTTTCAACCTAATGGTTGCTGTGGAGGGAAAGGCTGCCTTCAACGGGGAGGTGGTTAGAATGTCGTAAATAGCAAAGTGGTTGCTACTGTGATTGCACATTGCACAATTTTACATTTTTGAACAAGACAGCCTTTTAAAAAAGTGCATAGTTGTACAGGGATAAAATGATTAGGCACTTGACGTATTGAAGACTATAAAAGAAAGTAAGGATGAAGATGTTTATGTACTCAAACAAAGGGAATGGGAGAAGAGCAAAAGAGCAATGTGAGGAAAGACTGAGGACTCACGGAAAGCTGTGTAGAATTCATGCAGGCTGAGATGCCCATCATTGTTGTAGTCATCATATCTCAGCAGGTCCTGCATGGTGCACTCCATCAGACTGTCCTCCAGATGCTCCTTCATAGAGATCTAAACACACACAAACACACACTGTGTTACCCATAATGAAACAGCACGAAGCCCAAAATCAGAATTGAGATGTTACAGAGAAATGCAGATAAAAAGGAATTCAAGATTCACAGGTATAACATCCTTGAAACCTCATTTACATATTGTGTCTGCCTTGCCTTTTTAAATTCAAGTGTCTGCTGAACAGAATACAATTATGCAAATACTGTATTATTGTAAATCTGACATTTGTTAATGGTAGATACCACATGCATTTAACATTTCAGTATCCCCCTAATGGAGTAACCTCAGTGTGTTTAATGAATATGCTCAGACTTTCTTAAGTACTGAAGCAGAATCACAGAAACCTCCCCACCACTAAAACTATACATTTGTCGACATTCTGGATTTTACATTTTAAAGTTACTGTGTAATAATTTGCATGTCATTTTTTATAGCGATGACAGCGATAAAACAGATCCCTCGTGTGAGCTTTAGTTTAAGTGTAACATGAAATAATCATTGGTTTACAAGAAATGGCGGAAGAAAAACCGACTTGAATGAAATTGGCAGGCTGAATACAGTTGCCATAATACTGTAAGTAGTGTTTGGAATGAGATTTTCCCTTCAACCTATAATTAGGACAGGATTTCCATCAGGACGAAAGTGCCACATGTAGATAAAAGCCAAGAATCAAGGGAACTGATTCACTCAGAGTTATTACATTCTGATTAAAATGGGTTGCTGAAATATGTTATCTTGGACGTTAGTGCTGTTTCTGATTTCTCACCATTTCAGCACCATCACCTCTGGTACTACTTATGCTTGAATATAATGCACCAGAGTGCATTCAAAGATGTTCTCCTGGGAAAATGCATCTCTCTTTCCCCCCATATCCCCCACCATTTGTCATTTATGAGCCCTCTCTTCCCATTAAGTGATGTGTCTTTCTCAGGGGAACATTCTTACAAAAGGGGGTATTAAGCAGGTTGGTGGTGGTGGGGGGGAGGGTGGTTTAAACAGAAAGCTTAGCTTGTGCACAATAACTACAGTTGCACTACATTGTATAAGAGTAAATCCTTCTTCTATTAGAAACAAGTAGGATACTGGAAGTTGAGCACTGTCCTCATGGATATCTAAATCGTTTTATTGAGGGCTCATTCTTAGTAGCAGTGGTCGATTAAGTTCATTTAGTTACAAATGTAAAAAATACAAATCATATTTGTCCTTGTATAAGGATAGAAATCAATGAAAAGCGAATGTGTTCATGCATGACTAGCAACAATGCATTCTTACAGGGAGGCCGAGAATAATGAATGTCTGGCCCTTATTAGAGGACATTTTAGGGATACTACCCCAGTGAATCATCATTTAAAAAATACTTCCAGCTCTGCTTGAGAACCATTTGCTCTCTACGTGATTGGGAACCTGTTTACATGCAATGTGGGACTGTCCAGGTGTAAAGTTATTTTGGTCTAGAGTATCACATGCACTGAAGTTACTGGAACAAGTATGTCTATGTCAGCTAATGTTTCACTCTTGAATATTGACTCCGTAATAAGTGTTACGAAATCTACTACTGTAAGGTCTGAAGGCCGCTAAAAAAGTTGTCAGTATAAAGGTTATTTCATTCATGGTAAATAGACCACTCAAAGCGCTTTTACACCATATGTCACACCCATTCACGCACTGATGGCTGTGTTTATCAGTATTAACTAATACATTGATACACGCCGCTGACGAAGCAGTGCGAACAACTTGTGGTTCTAGTGTCTTGCCCAAGGACACATCAGACACGTTCAGCTGGAGATTGGACTCCCAAACCTTCCGGTTCAGAGATGACAGATTCTACCACTGAACCACAGCTGATGATTGGACATCGTCTCCTTAGTTAGCCAGACATGCTAATTGAGTTGCAAGGAAATAATTCATACCATTTATATATTTTCATATTTTTGCGGCTCTTACTTTTTACATGTTGTTCAAAAAAATAGGATATTTTTTAATTTTTGTGTTTCAGGCCGAAATGCTAACACAACTTTTACAAGGTACTCATTGTGTTACTCCTTCAGCTATGATTTACAACAGAAATCAAAAAGCCTGCCAGCATGTTCATCTCCACAAATGGATTCTATACGGAGCTGCACATGTCGCACAGCAGATTAAGGGATGTGGCAAACTTTATTTTGCTCTTTTTGGGCCCTACAGCAGGCTTTGGCCATGTGTTCAGTGACACACTGATCCGTCCTTTGGGCATTTCAGCTAACTATTTCATAGCCAATGTACAGGACTTTACCCTCTAAGACTTTCTGTGACCAAAGATTTAAACTCAACTGGATAAAGTCTGGATGGATAACTGGAATTCATCTTTTAGCTCTTTGGAAACTGAATTTACAAATTCCTACAGAGTGTGTAGTCTACAGATTTCCAGGAAACTTGTCAGCATTAGTGAGTGCTGCTGGGATTGATCAAAATATTGTTGGATTTTGAAGTCTAGATCTTCCAGGAAAGTCATTTAATTATTTATTTCTGCTGCTAGAAATAGGCCAAGAATCACTCCATCTATTGAAATGTTGAAAGGCGACAAAGCATATTGTCATTTACATTAGACCCATAGTGAGTTGAAAAGACGCTAATCACAGTGGCATCTTTTATGTTATCTTTTAGTTCCACTTATTTATCATCAGCTTCTTCATAAGGTTATTTTCCCTCAGACTCAAACACAAGAAAGAACCACATCACAATTTTAATGTTTGACATTAAAAAGCATCTGACAATTTTATCTTCCTGATGAAGTCGAAGTTGGACACGGTCACTGCTTTCTGGCACAAATCCCTGACATAACAGCATTGCTTGGGAGGAGTCTAATTAACACCCATCTCTGATGCCCATTTCCTGACACCAGATGATGCCCGCAATAATTTCATTTCCTCACACCCTTCAAATGCCAATCTTTTAGTCCCCCCCCCCCTACACACTGTTTCCCATCAGACCCTTGTGGGGAGTAAACATTTTTCATTGTCAAACAGGATGATTAAATGCTCCAGCCACATGTCACTCACCCAGTAACAACTCTGAAGGGGGGCTCACAAAGAAGACACAATCTAATCAACTGACGCAAAAACATGAGCAAGAATAGAATCACATCTTAACTCTTAATGATCTTATTCTTAGTCGAAGATTTGTCTTTCAATGGTGTGAGTCATACACTGCCTTAGTTGTCTTTAACTCGAATAAATAACATAGTTATGCCCTAAACTCTAGATGAAGTTGGGAATGTATTGTCTATATCTATTCCAAACGTAGATTGTGTTATGACACATCCAACAATCTAACATCCATTTCAAAAATGACAAGAACTTCTACTTTTTCAATCAGTCTTAACCAATAATTTGTCCATCAATACAGCGACCTGATAATTTATGCAGTTCGATACTCACCTTCTCCAGCTCATCACTGACCAGCCGGCCATCCTGGTCAACATCCAGGTATTTGAACATGGTATCCACCAGCGCTCTTTTCTCCTCCATGTCCCTCTGCTGGCTCTGCTCTCCAGCCTCCAGCACTTTGGGCTGCATATGCAACAGCATGCTCTTCAGCTTGTTGTACTCCGACATGGTGCATGCATTGCCTACAAGAGCAAACACACAGAAACACAAGAGACATTTGATTAACCTCAATTACTTAAGGAAAGTCTCTTTGGATTATAGCAGTTCATTGGATTGAATGTGTCTGTATGTTTTATAAAAAGAGGAAAGATAATGTGTATTTCTGTGCATGCATGTGTGTGTCCTTAAGTATTTACTAATTACAATGTTGTATTTTTTGTATGCATAATTTGTCAGCCAGCTTTTACTGTGCAGGGGGTCTAATTAATTAGTAACTAATCCTTGAATCCACATGAAACAACATAAAGGTAAACACCCTAATTTTAAACCTCTCATGCTTCTTGTCCTCCTTTGCTTTGGGATTAGAGCTGCTTCAGACCAGAATAGTCCTCTTTCCCCTGATTCTCTGGACTGCTCTGCCTGATGAGGATGTGGAGATGAAATGAGAGACCACAAACTAATCACGGGCAGCACTCGTGCTGTGTTATTTTTTCTTCACACTTGAAATAAATAATTATGCAAAACACGTCTGTCCCATGCTGTGGCGAACTTGAAACAAATGGAGGGCAGGCAAATAAGCAGCGGATACTAAGAGGGAAAGACACATTTTTTTAACGTTTTCTCTTGTGTCCCTCTTTTGCTTTATCCGAGCCTCATGACAGCATGGAGCCCTGACTGGTGGGTGGGAGTCAGAAACATGGTGATGACAGAAATAAAAATATGAAAAAAGAAAACCCAATGAATAAATCATAAGGTACCGTCCTTGCTTGATCCCTGCAGAGCAGGAGCCCTCCCTCTGAGAGTACAGAAGAATTATCTTATTGCCTAATCTCATCACAACTCAACAACTATCAAAGCTAATGAATCCAAAGTGCCCGGACATGACGGACCAAAAAGAAACACTCCAGAAGTTGAGAGCCAGCATCTACTTTTAGTTCTAAATTCGTTGCAGTGGGGAGTGCTGTCTGAGCATATCTACTGCTGTTAGCAAAACTGTCACTGCAGATAAGTCAACAGGGGATCAGCTAAGTTACAGTAGACAGAAAAATGACTCCTGCTGTGGTGCTCAATGCTAAAGTGCTAATTAAAGATGCACATATTTTAATGCTTGTGCATATGTACAAGCAGAGGTGAACAAACAAAGGTTTCCTGGTGTGCATGTCTTCTTTTCTAAAGAAAGCTCAGGGTGACCCATGATTAAGTCCTGAACAACCTTTTAAAATGAACTTTTTATTGATATGAAAGTGCCTGGTCTGAGACAATGAGACAGGCTTAAGTTAAGACAAAAAAAATAATATTAAAGGTTTTCATTAGTCTATATGGACTGCTCTCCGTCTATTGTTTTTTCCCAAATTGGGAGACATTATTGAAAAATTATTAAAAAAGAGATTGGTGTTTGAATGACACAGCTTGAAAACTTAAGATGGATGCAACCCAAAAAAAAAAAACATGAATGTTGTACAGTGTTCCGCCTCCCATGTCACCAGGAGAGCTTTAATGTTTTAATGTACCATGGGTATTGTGCTTTCCCTTAATGTGACCAGATGTTTCCATCAGATTTAGACCCCAGTGGTGGGATATTATTGATATGTTGGTCATTTTGGAAGGTGGTGAAATATGTCCGACTTTGTTCGTTAAATTGCATTTGATGGGATTCCTGCAGACTAGCCCTTCTGTAGCCATAAATGTAATATTAAATAAAAAATAAGGCAGTTTTCAATTTTTTAATACCATGAAAAGTCCAAAACAAACAAATCAGTCTTTTGCTTAATATCTTCCGTCTCTGCTACCATCTGTGACACTAAACCCTAATCCCAATCCCACTTATGGCTTTAATCATTATACATGTGTAAAAATACATGTTTTGATATTGTTCTTAATGGTTTCCAAAACTAGAGAAAAGTCAGTCAAACAGTAGTAAATCATAACTTTGTTGGGACTATTTCTAGCTTCTAATGAATACACATTTCATGTCATAGCTTGTGTGACTTGACATTTATCAAACTGTGGCAATGTTTGGCTTGGTTGTTGAGGTAAAAGCAAAAAAAATTAAGGAAGTCCTCAGTCCAACAAATCTCAGTTATCTCCTGGTAATTTCTTGGAGGAGTTCATGATGTTTGACATATAACCTACTCACAAAAAACCAAAGCCAATGCAACCTACAATGACACCCACATGCAAGTCTCGACATGCTACCCTTCAAAACACACCCACACGTCAGAGACAGGGTGCACTCTTCTCTACAAGCCAACAGTTAAGTCAAGGTCTTGGCAAAATCCCTGTTCAATGTTATTCCTGCAAGGGGAATGAGGCGTGAGGTGGATCAGACATGAGGGATCATCACCTAGCTGTCATCCCTGCTCCTGCCCGAGAAGGACAGAAACAAATTAACCCCACGCTGATTTACATCTTGTCATAGACGGAGAGAACAATCCTCTCTTTGCTCAGACTTACTCTGCCCCCACAAGAATCTATACTGAGGGGAAATTATTATGAGGAGATATTCCAAAGGAAATTTGACTGTGTCATATTAAAAAAGGGATATTTTGAGGCTGTTTAAAAAACGTCTGTAGGAGGAGACAATGTCCACCGGTGCTGCTTCTCTGACACAATTTGATTAAGGTCATAAATTACTTTGATGCCATTATTACTTCCTTATCTCTCAAGGTGCACCTTCTTTCCTCTGACCATTGTGAAAAAAGTCAATGTTTCACCTGGACTATACGGTGAATCACGCTGTCTTTCTTTTGTGGAGGGAATGTCCTTTGATTCTCGTTCTGCTGAGCGCAGCATCTGCGGCAGTGACAAAGAAATATCTGTCCGTATTACAGTGCATCCACCCCTGACTCTAACACTGTTTTATTGTTCTAGAGGGACTAGGACTCCCTTTATTGCCCGTTTGAAATGTTAGCTGCTTAAGTGAGTGATCCGAAGCTGCTCGCACCATGGACACCCAATGTCCCGGAGACAGAGCTTCTCCGCACTGCTCGGAGCAACCTCAGAACTCAAGAGTCTATAAATGTCAGGCAGAGGAAAACAAACAGAGAGTCGAGAAGCAGCGGAGAAAGTCCTGTCATGTGAGAGGGAAATGAGTGGTCCGAAGGATCAAAATGTAATTGATGAACATTTAAAGAATAGGGGAAAACTTTCAAAAGTAAGAAAAAAAAGTGAGGTTGAGACATGTGCATTTTCACGTGTGTAAAAAATGTTATCATTCCTTGTTGTGCTAAGTGGAACTGCTGTGATGCAGACAATGAACGTGTTGGCAGAGCTTGTATAATGCAATCCAGAGCACAAAAACATCTTTTTATGATTATTACTTTGAGGGTTATGTACTGTGAAATCGTGTTTTTTTTTACTTCGAGAACAAACAGGACTATCCAATTTAAAGACAAGAGAATAAAAGCAGAAATGTTCGAAATAATAGATGGAAAAAGTCGGAAATATGGACAGTCTGCACAGAGAATAATAACCGAAAACCAAAGCAGAGTAAAGAAAAGGGCTGGATAAATATATAGGATGTAGAATGCTGAGTCTATTTTGAGCAATGCCAAAGATATAGATAAATTACCAGAAATGTTTATTTTGTACCAGTCAAATGTATTACAAGATCTTATTCGCTTTACAATACCAAAAAAGTTGGCATTTTACTTTTGTTAACATCTCTTACTAAAGACAACTTGCTTTTAATTTGCTGTGCCACATTTTTCCTTCTCGGTCTTGCTTGACAAAAAGGCATTCTTGATAGCAGAGTGTGACTGGGTGGCTAGAGAGGAACCAAAAACTGATTGTTGCTGGTCTGCTGTCAAGTGTTGCTGCTGGAACAATTTGTTCAGGAATCTAGAGAAGTTCAAAAGGTACAAAGCAATCATACATCGACTGCAATTAAGGTGTGTATGACTCAAAAAAACTCAAACTTTCTCCTGTGCCTTTTGGATGAAATCTCAGCTCCACAGTTAAAAAGCACAGAGGTTGGTAAGGGAAACCCGAGACATAAATCCTCCATATAAGAAACTCCCTCCAATGCCCTCCAGGATGTGAAAGTGTTCTGTGTTAAATTTATGTCTGCCTGACCTCCCCTGGCTGAATTGATGGGATTATTTACTGCCATGGCGTCTCTGTGAAGCTAATATGGGATGTTGATGGACCTACCTTCCAGATAATTATGAATATGATGGACACCCCTTGCTCCTGGGGGCAGTAAGGTCTGCGAGAGCCGGGCAAATCTTGGAAGGGCGACACAAGTCACAGGAGAGCCCTGTGTTGCATAATCACTGTTGGCAGCTCTTTAAATCGGCTTACTGTGAGCTTCACAGTCCATCCAATATTTTGTCTGTGGTAGCTGTGATTTGAAACACTTAAAACTCTTTTCCTTAACATATTATATCGATACATTTTTTCTACCAATACAATAAATTGATAGTAATGAGAGTACATATTTTTATAAATGAATTAGATCTGGCTATGCTCACAGATTTGCTGCCTTAGTTTGTTTTCTGTAAACAGAAATGATCGTGATTTTTTGATCAAGCAAAGAAAACTTTTAGATCTTTTGGTCATGGTAACGTTAATGATATATATTTTTGACAAACTGGTTGATCAAGTTAAAACAAGTTACAGGAAGGTTCAGATGAGAAAGATGCAAAGCCGTTATTGTAGATTTTACTTTGGTGATCATTGGCTGTCAGCTCTGACCTGTCAGACGGCATTTGTTGTTGCCCTTTCACTATGAAGGCTACCTGGATGCTCACTCGTTGAACACTTTTACGATAAAGCAGCAGTAGTGGAAAACGTGATTTTGCATGTAATCACATGGTTTTGTTTGGACTTATTGAGGGTGTGCAGAAAATCTGAGTGAACTGAAGGCATGGCAGACTGCACAGTTGCATTGAAACCAACTTTAAAGACGGATACTGTAAGAAACATGATCAATGACAAAGTCAGAAAAAACACAAGATCCATGAATAGTATCACAAATGTGATTCAAAATAAAAAAAACCCCTAAGAGCAGCGATCAGTCAAA